TTCTTGGTGATGATTGGTTGAATTGTTGCTGTGACACCTACACAGTAATTTCCTTCTTTATAGCTTTTTATTCTTTTTGTAATAATTCAACTATTTAGGAAGTCGAATTATAACTATAATTATTTATTGCAAATTACTAGAATTTTCAAATCATAACACATAGACTGTAAGGTGATGTAAATAAACTCCTCATAGATACTAGGCTCAAAATGCTGTACGCCAGATGCGCGTTTCGTCTACAAAAGACTCATCAGTGAAACCCGAATCAAAAAAGTTAAAAAGGCCAAAAAAGCACGAAGTTGAAGAGCATGTAGGACCCAAAATTCCGAAAGGTTTTGCCAAATACAGCTAAAGTTATCTATTCCTGGGGTAAAAATCTATAGTTTTTCAAAAAATGAAATGGATTTTATTGGTGAGGAAACCTCCTTTTTGCAAATGGTGGTATTTTGGGCAACTGCGCATGCATGGGTTGCTATAATTGGCAATGTAATTAGAAAGAAGCATTATTGCAGTAATTGTAAGATGTCAAAAACTTCCATAGCACTAAATGAAATATGTCATTTGGTTTTATGGTGTTTAACAATTCAATTACAGACCAACATTTTGGTTTTCACTCAATTTTATCCTTTTCACCGGAATTTCAGGAAAAAGGCGTTATTTATTAAAAATACGTCATTAATATTTTAAAGTGCGTTTGAAAATTGACTAATAGTCTCTGTTTTAAAAGTTTTTCATATTTTCATACAAAATTTTATTATCTAAAAGACAGAATATGCAGAAATGTTGACGTCTTGTAAATAAGAAATTGTTCGTCCTTGACCTTTCATCGTGATTTGACAGAAATTGCACCGTTCGAATATTAAAGATAGTACAGATGAATTGCTTTCGATTGATATATGTTTTAGCCGTATGTTAGGTGGGTGCATTAAAAATTAAATTTTATGGTTAATGTCACTCGACTAAATAGCACGTCAAAATGGACCATACAGTGATTTTATTCTGTATGTTCAAGGTTGCGTTATCGTTCGGGAATGATTTCATAAAAAAAAATTATTTCCTTTCAAATAAATCATTGTATTCCTGATTATCAAACAGCTGTAACAGTAAGAATCTATGTCAGTTTTCTACATTTAATTTACAAAATGAAGTTAAATCGTGCAATTATATTTAATTTTTTCTGTGATCTCTTGGATCAAACTGAAAATCAGGTTCACGTATTTCAATTTTTCTTTCAGAGAAAGCATCTTGCTGTATGCAATGACTTTCACATTGACCAACTATTTGTGTAATGGCTGTAGTCGGGGATAATCTTATAATACCAATAAATGAATTGCTATATACATTATTACATATACCACACTACATTATCAAGCTAAACTTAACCTGTATCTTTATGCAACACACTTATTCTTAATATATTTTATAAAAGATGTTAATACAACATTAGGATTTGTGTAAAATTTATCACCTGCAATTCTTAAATATATAGTAAATATGCATCATGAACTATCATGTCAATGCCCGCTCGGGCTTTTAGAATAGCGCCATTTATTTATTTAATAAAACGATGATTGATCGATTGTTTATATGAACATGGTGTAAGTCTGCTGCTAAACGATAGCCTGTTGTATCTATGATGAGTTTATACAATGTTTGCAAATAATATCTGATTATAACAAAGTGTGTATTATAAGGAAGATCGGGTGTATTCCGCCATCTTGGATTGTAAAATAGGATATCAGTGTAGATCTTTCATGGAATATACAGATTTTAAAGAGGGAATGTAATTGATTTGTAATACAATCTTGCAAAACCTATAATGAAAAAAGCCCCATGACATATTTTGAAAAAAAAAAGAATATAAAAGAAACCCTAGATACAAGTGAGAGGTTTAGCTAGCTATAAAACCAGGTTTAATCCACCATTTTCTACATTAGGAAATGTCTGTACCAAGCCAGGAATATGATAGTTGTTTTCCGTACGTTTGGTGTGTTTGAGCTTTTAATTTTGTTATTTGATAAGGGACTTTCCTTTTTGAATTATCCTTGGAGTTCGGTATTTATGTAATTTTACTTTTTTTTTTAATATTTATTGATTTTTTATCAGTTTGTAGAGGTGTTTTAAACTGCAATTCTGTAAAAAAATATTTAGCAATTGGTTTTGTCTAAGGTAACGCCTTCGGAACAAGCACAGTAAAAGTGTGATATAAACTACATGAACATTTTGGCACATTGTTAAAAAATTATATCGATTTGAATTGAAACCCCTGATCAAGCTTGAATTTATCCGTGTTGTTTTTATTTTAGGGTGCATCATACATGTTTATTTTAAGTTATTACCTGTTATTATTAAGAAATATAACATCAGTTACAATATGTTGTGAAGATATTTTCGATCATTTTCCCTCTGTCGTCAATATGTACATCAGAGTTTGCTTTTTTAGGTAAGCATATGTGTACACTTTAAGGCATACACTATTTCTATCAGATATCTTCTTTTGTCGAATTATTTTCAACAATCCTATTTTGTTTAATTCTTGGTTAAATTATGTGTGATAAAATTATAAATGCAAAAGCCTTTAATCAATCTTTTTTACCAAGCCAAGTTTAATCACATATTTATGTAAGATTAAAAGAAAAAAAAAAACAGTTTTGCTTATTTACACCGTATTGATATCGCACTATGACGTCCGATTTATATTACGATGTTGTGCTCTCTTCGTGCAAGTTTGTGATTGTTTAAGGGTATTTTTTTCATTACTTTTATGCTATCAAAGTACTAAATATTCTCAATTCCTATTGTCTATGGATGACAATAATTCAATTTAATCGGGGGATAGGGGAGGACGTGTAGGGCTATAATATTCTATCCTAATTCTAAACAGATAAAACAATTATTCTGAAATATGATTTTTTTCAATTGTTTATAAGATAATAGTATATGCTTTACCATGGTAAATGTGTCAGGAAACGGGAAACAAAAACATAGTAACAAAATTAATAAAGTAAATACAGAGGACATTGGTCCTATTTTTTTCATATTTTCCTCCATTCCGTGTTTTTTAGCCAGAGATAGTGTGAAACTAATAAAAAATGAAGATGTTTCATATGAATACCAGTATTCACTCATTTGTCCGGTGATATGAAGACACATTTAGGGCTATGTGCATCATTTGTAACATTATTATTATACTTTTACAATGAACTATTGTTTCCAAATATTCTATTATATTTTGACGTAGATTATAACAAGGATTAGTGAAAGCAGAGTAATACGGTACTTCATTAAATGTTTAAATTTTCGAGGCGGTATTTAAGAATTATATAAGTTCAAATCGCACAGTCTTTGTTGTAAATCCTTATGTCTAAAATTTGAAGTTCTCTACGAATATAGTTCCCAGTATTGGTTTTAAATAGTATACTGGGATAACGCAAGAGCATTGACGCCGTACAGTGTATATACAAACACAAATAAGCAAGTATAACCAGCATCATTTGTTCATTTCGTGAAAAACACAACAGTAGTTGACCTATGTTCATATAACAGAAATTCAGAACGAAGATGCGAGACAACGGATAAAACACCGAGGAATCGCATTATAAAAGACTATAGCTCATCTGTTCATAAGGTCACTTGATCTGAAGTCAGCACATCAACTTCGTCGTTAGACGAATCATATTTTCATTATTTCCTCTGAAACAATAATTTGCAGAAATGATAAAAGTGAAATTTTAATGATAAATCCTATTGAATGAAAAACATTGTCGCCATACATGTATGCAATGGTCGATTTTTATCATTAATTTAAAAACATTTCATTCGAATTAAAACGAGTAAATGATTTTTTTCTAATTCAAAGGATTGATCGTATAACGATTTTTATAAAGGACCTCTACAACTAATGTTCATTTTACAATGTTTTATGTTGATCAAATTGCAAATATGGTCACTTGTGGTACATACACTTGTAACGAAAAATAAAATAACAAAAATACCACACTCCCTGGAAAAATCAAAATTGAAAGTCCCTTATAAAATGGTAAAATGAAAAGCTCAAACAAATCAAGCGAATGGAAAACAACTCTCATATTCCTGAATTGAACGGTTTTTACTACTATTTTCATAATTTTATCTGAAACAGGTCAAACCAACCAATCAATACAGAAATAACGGAGGAAGGCTTTCTACAAATGAGTCATTCTCAGAATCTACAAGGCGAAAGTTTTGATAATGTAGGATTGCGACGGTCCTGTTTCAAAACCGTCCGTAAAAATAATTTAATGATGAGTTGAAGGGAAAAAAATCGACATTGGAGAAAAATGCCAAATGTATTAAGTGAAAAAGATGGAAATATAATTTTCATCCTTTTCACTTAATACATTTGGCCTTTTTCTCCAAACTTTGTAGGAATGAATCAGCGATAGTCAATGACAAAATAATCTTATGTGATTTGCATCGGATGAAACATAACCGGAAAGACAATCTCACATTAGGATTTGCAAATTCAAAAATAGAAAATCCTATGAAACTGTTTAAAGCTATTGGAATTAACTATTTGACAATGAAAATCGTGTTTAAAGTCTAGTGGCAAATATAATACGTATACATGTATTTTTACTAGATGATGTTTTTTCTCTTCATCCTAATAGCCGCATACCTTTCATATCATATTAAAAAAAAGTTATCGCTTATTTCTTAATCAATATTAACAACACTTTTTAAAAATAATGTATTGTAATGTAGATTTTAAAAAATTAGTTAATTCCAAAAGATTTTGAAAAAAATGTAGTCATCAGAGCTTATTTTTGATATTTATTGACCAATTTTCAAAAGGTTCTCTGGACTTATATGGTTCCTGCATAGGAATATTTTATTCCAAATTCAAGGGGCAAAAGGTTTTTGACATCAGGCTCCTTTGATGGTTCAATATCTTACATGACCGATCATGTATAGAAAGGTGAACGATACATCTATTTTGAAATACGAAACTCTATTTTAAGGGAAAATATATTAAAAAGACAAGAGATACTACGATTGAAACAGCAGTAGAAGCAGTTGTGGAAGCTTTGGATACCTTTAATAGAGCCGATGTGGAGTGTATTACAAACTGCAATCAATACCAAAAGGAGGGTTTTTTAAATATTGTAAGTATAGTTTGTTACGTCATTGTTTAGCGTTGAGACATTAAATTTACAGAGTTCATGTCATGAACATATGTACAGATACAATTAAAATAAAAGTTGAACAATGCAGAAAAAAACCCAGCAAAATAAGGTGATGTGTCCTTTTTATTTTGTCAAACAATATTATTAAGAAAAATATTGGGGTATGTTAATAAGTAACCAAGCAAAAGACAACAATAACAACCAAAAACCTTTCAGTTGTCAATGTAGAGTCACCAACAATAGACTGAAGTATATACAAGTATGAGTTATAAATACACTTTACAGAAAAAACAAAAGAGCTACCATCAACACCTAATTATTCACATAACGTACATCATTAAGATATAATGAAACAGGGTTCCTAGCTTGTGACAGCGACCTGAAATTGTGACAGGTTTGAATTTGTTTTTGAGATCTCAATCATCTATACATTTACATACTGTTGGTAATTTCAAAACAAAAGATTACTAATAATTTGAAAATAAACTTTTGCGATGTGTTCTTATGTTTACAACCATTTTCTCACAATAAAATGGGGAAAAAAAATAAAGATAAATGCTAACAATTATAGATTTGTTTAATTAATCATGGGCAAGTGATTTTTGTTTTTATTTATCATTTCCTATGTGTTTTTAAGATCATATATATCTTCATCAACTCCTACATTCTAGAAAAAATGCAACATATTAGGATATTACATATGAAACATACTGACGAGATTCTAAACTATTGACAAGTTCACGAAAATTGGCATTCATTAAATGATTTATTTAATCTCAACTCTCTATGTTAATATCAATTTTGTTAAGTTCCGGGAAATCTATTACGAACTATTTTTGCTAGTTGGTTGTTTTTCTTAAAACTCAATAAAGATATACAAATTTTTAAAAAGTCCAACACTGATAAGAACAATCATGTTTAACATAACTTTCATTAACTCATCAAAGAGACCAGTCTTCGTGGAAATATATGAAAAATGTATTTGTAGGAATGCTGAATTTCTTTCACAATTTCGTATCTGTATTAGCCCGGTGACCAGAGTCAGAATTTTCAAAATTTAATCGTCAGAACTACTACACGGCTATATGATATATCATTAGATTCGAATATTTGTTAAATTTTAAATTAATTTGGTCGTCAAAAGAAAACATGGTGCAGTTTTTCAGAAATCAAGATCAAAGACAACAAACCATTTTCATGAGGAAAAAACATTGAATATCTAATTTCAATTTGAATACCCTTTTTGCAGTAGAATAATGGCAAACTCGCATCTGTTTTCTTCCTTATTCAATTTTTCATCCAAAAAGTGAAAAACCATCATTAAATGAGTTTCATGAGTTGACGTATGCGATTTTACAAAAAGGGGGATGATTTTCATTTCAAAAAGATGTATTTTTTCAAATAATGAAAACAACGGCCGTCGAAACTGTACAAAATGTATAGACAAATAAGAAAACATATGTATTTGTTAATATAAATATATTTTACTTCAATGAATGTGGAACATTTGAGTTTTTGGCATAAAGGTTGAATTCGGGACATGGCAAACTGGCAGCAAAAGTTCTTTCAAAACAGACTTATATTTGAGTTTAAACATTGTCATGACTTTTTTTTTTAAATAAGATGTATCAATAGAAATATAAATCATTATAAAATAGACTAAGAACATTAAAAAGGCATTTTGATTACTAGAACTGCCTTTTATTCGTTTAGAAATTGTTTCGGTTGTTCACTCCCAAACTTAGTGACACAAGACAAATAATTTCTTCTAAGGAGGATAGTTTAATATCACACTAAGCATTCTAAAAACTTTACTGTAATAAGTAATTCTGACTTCTTTATTGTGGGAACGTTATTAGATGTGTCTGACCCTTGCCTGGAACATATATATTCGTACATGCAAGGTAAAGCTAAATAAATCACTAATATCAACATTATTTCAAAGTTCTTCTGTAGTGGTGAACGAACACGACAAAATTCTTAAACCACAAATCCTAATAATATTGAGTTTATGAATGTTAAGCTTCGGACATTTGACTCATTCTGCAATAGAATGGAGTGCTGGTAGACTGTTTGTGTTAAACATGTATAGTGCTTTTGTCCAGCATCAAAGGACATTTTCTCATTGGGCATATACATATGAAATTATTGGAATATGAAACAACTGTAACATCGGGGCGCTTCTAAGACAGATGACAAACTCACCCTGTCCAGAAAGGAATAGTTTGTCCTGCTTGCAACTGTACATATCCCTCAACAAAAGTCAAGAAAAAAGCCTTCTCTGATCGACAGTATACACTTGCCATGATCACATGATTGTAGTTTGTCGAAAGTTTCCGATTGTCGTGATTGTTCTGCCCTACAGACTAGTCTGTTGAATTTGATTTGATATTTGAATTAGGGTTAGCATTGATATAGCACTGCTTATGGTAAAACGCTTGTTCTGTAAATTTGTATTTGTAATTTATGAAAAACGTTTGAACCCCCGTAAAGTGATAGAGTGGTAGCATTTACCTGAATCTATTCAAGAGCACACTATTCCTATTATTGCTTGTAGCTGTTTTATGACAATATATGCAAGCATATGCAAAAATATCAATTGCTTTAAACTTTTTTACCCGTGTTTTTCAAACAAAAACTGAGGGAATCCTTTGACCTTCAAAAACTCCGAGAATATATCAGCTCAGTAGTCAGTACCTCGGTATATATATATATAATGTATATATGTAAGGTTTCATCTACCTCAGGCAAAGTTGAATTTAGATTGATTTTGTTATTGTTTTAGGTCCTTTTTGGTCATATAGTTCTTTAACTGTTTCGGTTTCTATATATCCTTGGCTTTCAAATATGTCGCTTTGAACGTTCCTGATGAAGGTAAATCCAGAAAGCCTGGACGCATTAAAATTAATAACGTATTGTTTTCATTTTTTTTCAAAAAGAGTTGAAATCGTATGCGCTAACAGCATACGCGTCTTTCGCTATGCATGCATCAGACGCCATGCGAATCACAATTAGTCAAAATGTAACAAACAGGAATGGGACACAAATGCTAGATTTAAATATCTGATCTGTTACTTAGTATTTAATCATCATAAACCGCGAAAAGATGTTGCTAGTGAGATGAGACAGGATAAAGCTTTAAGGTAACGCAAATCGTGATGGTGACTTTAAAATTTACTTTGTGTTCACTTCTGTCGCCGGTTCCCCTCATCACTTTGTATTTTGCCACATGTGGAGCAGAATCTGCTAATGTTTTGTTATTATAAATCACCCATGCAACCACGCATCCCATATTGCCTGATAAGACCCGACGCTATTTTAGTGTTTCGGCAGTTAAAGCTTGGGATGGTCATCTTTAGATGCATTTCTTTAATATAATCAAATATGAAAATAATTCATGTATATATTGATATATTTATATTGTAATTCTTCGTCACTAGATCTAGATATTATGACTGATCTGCCATCATCAGGGGTCCAACTTTCAATTTTATGTTAAAGTTTCTAACTTTGATCTAGTAAACATGTCTCTCACATTTTTATGTTTGCTATACATGCTATATGCAACTACTGGTGCAACATTGAATGCTCTTACACCTTTTTCGTCAAACTGCAATAAATGCCAGAGTTTCATGATACGTTTTGTTTTATTTTAAGTATATATGGGTTATATTTAGTTATGAAAACTAACGGAATACTTTCTTTTTCCTTTGATTTGTTTTGCTGTAATAATTCAGTACGGTCAATTGATATAGCATCAGTAATACTATCATCTATTTCGACGTTATCATAACCTCTATCTAATAATTTCACTTTGAAATTAGTTAGATTGTTAATTAATTTGTTATGGTCACTTGTGTCTCTTATCTGCGGTATTGCTTCACCTTTAATAAATCCTCGGAATACATGCTGTGAGTGACAGCTTTTTCGAAGCAGATATAGAATAGAATTTGTTTCTTTAATATGAATTTCAAGGTCAAAAATACCATGTGTTGTAAATCTTTGATATTTACTTACAACAACATCTAAGAGCGACAAATTTATCGTTTGAGATTTCATAGGTGAACTTCAATAAGAGGTTATAATTATTTGCTAGACGAAAAAAATCTGTAATTTCATCTGATGTTCCATCATATATTAGAAGAGAGAAGACGTTATTAAAGTCAAAATATATTTTATTGGCGGAGTAAGATCATGGCTTCTGTCGGTTACCAACCCATAAACAATGGGTCTTTGGCAACCGTAAATTAGATGCATATTCAAAATGCAAATCAAATCATTAAAATAAAGTAGATAAATAAAATTCAATATTCAAATCAAATCATTAAAATAAAATAGATCAATAAAAATCAAAATTCAAATAAAAACTAAAATGAAATGAAATGTTGAAATAATGGGGTGCTGAATCAAACCCTGGCAACAGATGTCCAAAATCAACATGAGAAACTACGTTTGAGGTGGAAATGAAGATTACATGGATTAATATTCTAAATTAAATACTAATATAGTGATAAATCAAGTTCATCGGTACTGGTGCAGCCTTTAAATTCCGACCTAGTGATGAACTCTGTTAAAAGACTGTCATAACATTATTTTTCGGTACAATATGACTGTTAATCCGTTATCACTCGTCAGATGGACGTCGTACTGTGTTTAGTTCTGTTTATAGACTGGCGAAGAGTTGTAAATCCAGATGCCGCGACAGGGGTTCTTTGTTGGAGTTAGAGACCAGCAGAAATCTGTAAAATAAGACACAAAACAGCAGTATCGAAAAACTAAAAGAGGAGGGAAGGGTGGGTTTACATTAACTATGCATACAATAAACTCAACAATCGGACCTTAGATATATTCAGTTACTTCCTAGCAGACCGTGCATTCAAAATATTGTGAGGAGTGCTATAGCTGTTAAAATTGATATGCCGTGTAATCGAATTAAAACATGCGCGTAACATTGACCTGTGCATGATGTGCAAAAGTCT